ACCACCCGCAGGACGCTTCATGGGGGTGATCGCTCGAAGCCGACGATGGAGGCCTTGGTATCCCTTGTCGGCAAGCAAAGCCCAAGAGTCCGGGTATTCGCCACTCAATGGTCCGGCATCAACCGCTTCGCCATCATTTCCCGCCTTCTGCAGGTGCTCCAGGTGGAAGTCGGAGTTGAAATCACAGATGGTAATGTCGGACACACTTCCAGGTACTGCTGATGTCACGTTGAGGGCCAATCCATTCGGCAAAACGCTCACTTCCACCTTCACGCCATACTGTCCATGCTTCTTGCTGAAGAAGACTTTCTTCTCGCCAAAGCTGACGGCAGGGGCGTTCGTCTGTTGAAACGTCACGTCGACTGCATAGCGCGCCATTGGGAAGTGCTTGAAACGACGACCTGTCTTGGTCAGGTAGTCCATTGAGTACTAGTTGGCGACGGACTCAATGTACTTTGTCTTGAGGTGGGGAAGCAGGATCGTCAAGAACCCGGTGACACGTGTCGAGAACGTCGGTGGCTTCTCCTTGAAGACGGCAGCCATTGAGCGACGCGAGCGAAAATTTGAAATGACGTGTGTGTGATGGACGATTTCGTGCGTTTGGCGCCAATACACGTAAGGATTTTGGCGGCAATATTTCATGCATTTTGTGTGCATTTTTATTCGTTTTGAGAGATATTCATTTTTGAAAGACGAATTCTGTGTACATCTTTATTGCGACACGTGTTTTGATTTGTAGATGCTGTGATTTAGGAAATGACTGAGTGATTCTCTAATTCATTCAGTAAATCGTCAATGACAGATTATACGTTTCATTTCACGATCACTGATTATGTGGTGAGTTATTCACTAGTTCATATGTTTTTTACCAAAGGCGTTGTGACTGACTAATGACTAAATTATTTTGAATTGTGACGCGGCATTTTGTAAATTGGCACATATTTGGTTAAATACCCAGTCACTGGTTTTGAGGTCTACTGCACATAATGGAGACTAACGGCCTTACCGATCATGAGACCATGAGCCGACCTCTAAAAAGGCTCATATGTCTTTCTGCAGAGCCATGCAGAACAACGGCGTATCCGGCGCGGGCGATGCGCAGGGCCTCCAGCACCCCGCCGGACCGCAGATGCTGCACCACTCGCGCCTTGTTGACTGTGCGGGGGGTACTCACGTCATTCGGTTTGATACAGCGAATGTATATAGCCCCACGACTTGGAGCAGGTCATCAATTTGCCTTTGAACTGGCTCGACACACTAGCCGACCGAAGACTGCTTGCTTGTCTAGTGGGGGGGGATTTTCGGGTTCGCCCCCCTTGTTTGAGTTGAGATCGAGATGGCGGCAAGAGTCATATCTTTATTTCGTGTAAACGGACATTGCTGTGATGATCACAGAATTGCTGACTCCTTTCGTCGCTTTCCCAAATCGCTCATTTGACAAACTGCTGATTCTGCGCTACTTGTTGGGTTAAACCGGGTATTTGCCTCACCACCTGTCGGGTGGGATGCGAAATTTAATTCCTGAGCCATACATTTACCTACATATTTATAGAAATTTACTATCCGTTCGCTACCCGTTCTATATCCGAAAGAAAACGTTTCATCACCGCATTCCGCACTTGCGCACATGTGCGAGTGCAGCATGTATACTACTAGTACATACAGTATAAGACAGACACGACACAAAACCGACAAAATTCGGCCCCGTGATTGGATGACCGACAAATGATTGAATTC